CTTGCTGGCCCATCCCAGCCAGTCAATGAGTTCCAAGCTGTCAGAATAATCATTTTTCAGTAGATAACGTGTTGGGGGATATGGAGAGAGAGAGAGAGAGAGAGAGAGAGAGAGAGAGAGAGAGAGAGAGAGAGAGAGAGAGAGAGAGAGAGAGAGAGAGAGAGAGAGAGAGAGAGAGAGAGAGAGAGAGAGAGAGAGAGAGAGAGAGAGAGAGAGAGAGAGAGAGAGAGAGAGAGAGAGAGAGAGAGAGAGAGAGAGAGAGAGAGAGAGAGAGAGAGAGAGAGAGAGAGAGAGAGAGAGAGAGAGAGAGAGAGAGAGAGAGAGAGAGAGAGAGAGAGAGAGAGAGAGAGAGAGAGAGAGAGAGAGAGAGAGAGAGAGAGAGAGAGAGAGAGAGAGAGAGAGAGAGAGAGAGAGAGAGAGAGACCCTTACATTGTAGACTCAGGCCTCCACACATGCATGCATTGACAAACTTGCCTGAATACCTTTACTCACTTTACAAACTGCATGCACACATACAGAAGGAAAATATTTTGCCACAATCTTTGTTTCTGTCTTGGCTTGTTATAGGCTTGTTACTGTATATTTTTTAAATAGTTAAGTTTATATATATTTTACATATGGTACGATGTGTCATGGTTTTGAACAGCGTTTGACCATGTACACACTCCCACAAGCAGGATCGAGATTAGCTTTATTTTTTAAAGGTTGATTTATCACATCCTCTGTTATACTCTTAGCCCCCACCAGCCATCGCTACTGGGATGACTGCCTGCTTTAAGAGAGTACATAGCATGCACTTAAACACTGTGGAGATCAGAAGTGACCAACTATGATTTGGGGGTTTGTAAAAATGCCTTGATCCCTTTTGCATGCAGAGAATAAAATGCTTACCATTATTTTAAAACACTATTGCTCTTTAAATGGCCTAAAATTTTCAAGTTATTTCCTGAAAAAAACACTGCTAAAATTGGCTTTGATGGAGGATTTGAGAATGGTATGATTTGGTTGTCTGTCTTCAGCACCTCTAGCCTTCACTGTCTTCCAGAACATTTAAAGAGTTTTAGGGACCTAGTTGACCTCACTGTACAGTGTTATGGAATTTATAACATTGAACTTTTTGGAAAACATTGTCTCTTCTTTCTTTACTTATTTGGTAACTAAATTAGCAGGAAGATCGAGTTGCATATTCAGGCAAAATCAGGAACATAGCTTAATTTTTTTTGATATCATGCATTCTTGGGTTGATAATGTCATTTAGCTGGTAGGTGCTCATCTAGCTCAGAAGACCTAGCACTTAGGAGGTAATAACAGGAGGATCAGAAGTTCAAAGTCATCCTCAGCTACATACCAGGTTCCTGACTGGCAGCTACAGGCTGTGCAACTCCCTCAAAATAGGAGCAAAACAAAGTAAGAGAAAGTCATGTATTCCTAATAGAAGAAAATTCTCATGGGAGTTTTTCTCTCCTGTTGTGTAAATACTCTATTGTTAGTTTTTCTTCATCTACCTTTAGGGATCAGAGTGTCCCCACGATGTACACACAGTGACATGGGTGCCTTGGTTGATACAGAATGTTAGAAAGCCAGACTTATATGGGTAGCTTTACTGAGATATAATTTTCTTTACTAAAGCTTCCCCAAACAGATATAATTCAGAGAGCTTTTAGCTTATTCATTCAGCCGTACAGACATCAGCACAGTCATTTTTGGAAAATGATCACCAGCAAATGAGCCCCAAAACTCAACAGCATCTTCCCTGATTCTCCACTGCCTCTCATCTGTAGGCCAATGTGCTGTTCTGCTTTCGGTCTCAATAGGTTTCACTGTCTGGCTGTTTGGTGTCCTAAGATGAGGCGATTTCTTTTATTTAAGCTTCTAGTGTTTACGTTGCAACATCTCTCAGCTCCATCTTCTTGTATTGCAGCGTAGCATTCCACCATATGACTACCGTTTGTTTTGTTGTTGTTGCTTTACCAGTCTGACCATTTGAAGTCTCATCACTCTTTGGCTTTTGTAGATAATGTTGCTGTGAATATTTATGGATTAGTTTTCCTATTGACATATGGTTTCATTCCCTAACAGTAATTGTTGGATCATATACTTTGATATTTAGGAGGAATTGTAACATTGTATACTGATGAGATTTGGAATCTTCTTATGCACACTAGATACTGGTCTCTTGTTGGATATGTGGTTTAAAAGAAAATCTTTTCTCTGGTCTTGCCTCCCCCCCTCTTAATAGAGTTTTTTGCAAAGCAAAAGTTATTTTAATTCTTTTTTTAAATTTTATTCTTTTTTTTAAATTTAACTTTTTACATATGTCACTCTCAGTTCCCTCTCCCTCCCCTCCTCCTCCAATCCCCCAATCCTCCCAACCCCCTAACCCACTCCATCCCCCCTCTGCTCCCCAGGGAGGGCAAAGGCTTTCATGAGAGATTTTCAGTTTGTCATATCATCCCGGGCATGGCCTAGGTCCTCCCCCATTTGTCCAGGATGAGAGAGCATCCTTCCATATGGAATGAGTTCCCAGAGTCCATTTGTATGCCAGGAATAAATACTGCTCTACTCTCCAAGGTCCCACAGATTGCCGTGGCCTCTTCTCCGACACCCAGGTTTGGTGCAGGGGTAGTGTACTGGCCTCTCAGTCATCAGTCGGGGGTCCATGTGTTCCCCCTTGTTTAGGACAGCTGCCTCTGTGGGTTTTGCCAGCCTGGTCTTGATTTTAACTCTTATGAGGACTACCTAATCAATGTTTCTTTGTGTGGATTATGCTTTTAATGTCAAGTGTAATGATATTTTTAATTTAAAAATTCTAATTATTTTACATTTTCTATTTGAGTCTGTAGTTAATTTGGAGTTACTTTGGTGTAAGATGTGTGCTTTAATCTCCAGTGTGGTAGTGTTGAGAATTGGCAGAACATTTCAGAGGCGGAGCCCAGAGAATTGTTGCTCAGTTACTGGTGATGTTCTTTGAGAGTGACTGAGGTAGTTTTATGGGACTCCATGCTTACTCTGTCTTCTTGTATCATTGTGTGATCTTTCTTTCTACACTCTTGCTATGATGATTCTGTATGCCACTTACCAAGGTCAAATACATGACAGGAATTTTATTAAATGCGTAAGAAAATGAAGTATGAAATTCTCAAGTAAATGGATGAATATAGAAATTTTATTAAGTGATAAGTTTGACTAGACTCAGACAAATACCGCACATTCACTGTCATCTTCTGGGGTGCCTAGCTCCTAATTTACAGTCTCTCTCTCTCTCTCTCTCTCTCTCTCTCTCTCTCTCTCTCTCTCTCTCTCTCTCTCTCTCTCTCTCTCTCTCTCCCCCTCCCTCTCTCTCTCTCCCTCCCCTCCCTCCCTCCCTCCCCACCCCATGGGAGTGCATGTGAGTATATGTTGAGAAAATCTTGTGATGAAATGACTTGGGGGGTTTTATATCAGAAGACCTGCATTTCAACTCTGGCTTTGGAACTTAGCAGTAGTGTTATGCTGCACAGTTTCTTTGTCTTTCAGGTTAAATAGGATGAATATAAATGACTTACTTATAAGCCTCAACATTCACTTTTGTTGAATCTCTTAATTTCATACTAGAAAGGAAAATACTAGTGATCATTGCTGTCCAGATTGTTTTGAATATCTTTATTCCAGTTTCTTTGATCATTTTTAAAATTACCAAGTGTTAGCAAAGAATGAGAATGAGATTTCAAAGGTTATATTTTTATTAAATTATAAAACATAATCTTTGATTTTTAAAAATCATTTGAACAATGTGTCCTTTTAGGAATATGTTTATCCTTTCCTTTTATCCCCTTCTCTTTGTGATTATTTCCCAATTAGATTGTGTTGATTAAAAAATTAGTTTTCTAATAAATCCGTCCTTCATGTTAAAATTGATCTTTTGAACCCAACAATAGATATACTTTAGTAGAGTAGTAACATCATTTTTTGTTCACTGGGGACCATTTGTTTTTGCATCATTATTCCCTTTTTCGCTCCCTTAATTCTTTACCTCCTTTGTCCCCTCTCGGCCTCCTACCTTCCAAAGCAGCTCTGAACAAATGATGCTACAATGATGGGGTGCTCTGTTTTCCATATTCAATCTTTAGGTCTTGTGTTCATCTAGATTGACATCATTGATGGTGGTGAATGAGTTAGGGTTTTTCCTCCCTTGGTGTCTTTGATAAGCCTGGGGAATTGTGTAGGACAGTATATCTCAAAGAAAAGAAATCCTTTAGTATTTACAGCATTTAGTTTGCAAGTAATTTGGATGGCTCCTGTATAAGCAAATATTAAAGTACTTCTATAAAGGACTTGATTAGAAAAGTTCCACCTCTGTAGTAGCCATGGTGGACTGATGGCAATAATAGAAAAACACTATAAAATCTATTACTCATTGCTAACTTAGAAATAATATTGTAGATGCACATCGACACTGGAATATTTTATCAGCGATAAGAAGATGGCTATGCAGGAAATAGACATTTTTGTGAAGTAGCAGAATGGAAGCTTTGTTCAGTATAATTGTGTTCCTCATCCCTAATTCTTTGATAGAGGGAAATGCTTTTCTTTGGAGGCAACATATCTCTCAGGGCACAGCTCTTCTCTCGTTTTCACCTCTTGCCAGCTAACATAGTAGAGAAGTAAGCCTTTGAACTAGTTCTTCACTGTACTTTTTCCCCTGATTGTTGCACAGTTCTGTTAAAATCAGGTAATGTAAGTGTAGCAAAAGTGTTGGTGAAATGAATCAAATAAAAATATAATTTACATCAGCATTTTGGGGTCTGATTTTCTCAGATGTTGATTAAAACTAAATACAGAATTTACCCATGCACGTCCATCCACGTACATAAATAGAACAAAGATGAGTGCTTCATTCAATTATTTGTATGTTATACTTTGTCAAATTATCCTTTGAATAAGTAAAAAGCTTTACAAGTTTCACTCCATTTCTTTCATTCTGTAAAGTGAAATCTTGTCACTCTTGCCCCCATTTTAGCTGGAGTCACTGCAGAAGCCATGCAGACAATGGCAACAGCTCCAGATGCCTCCGGGTCTGAAGCCAAAGTCCAGGAAGAAGAGCATGACCTCGTGGATGATGACATCACCACTGGTAAGCATGGGCAGAGGAATGTTACTTGTTGGAGCTTTGGTTAGTATTTCAAACTGTTTGCTACGTCATGTACTGGGGTTGTGCCCTTTGAGGGAAGGCTGGAAACTTGAAGTGGAACTGTTGATTTGGTTCTGGAGGGCACATATCACTGTACCAGTGAGTCCATGAGCTGTGACTTGATTTTGTGGAAACATCATTTAATTGTGGAACTGGGGTCATTACTAAAGCCTTAGAACATGTAGAGGCATATACATGCCCATTGGGCTGTGAAAGACTGCAATTATAAGGGTAAGTTCAAGAATAATTAAGTTGTAGTGGCAATGTATGTTGTATAGGCTGTGTAAGAAAATGTACACACATTCTTTATACTTTAATTGAGGAAGTGAATGCTGCCTGTTAAAGTTATGTACTTGGAGTGGACCAAATACTCTTCCTTGTATTACCTATCATGGAACCAGACATACAGCAAATTTCACAAAGTTCACATATGACATACTTAGCCTGTTGTTGAATCATTTTGACTAATTTTAATTGTTGAATCTCCACATTAATTGTGCTCAATTTCTTTTAATGTACTGAGGATAAAAACAGACTGGATAGTTTTATTGAGATTAAAGTTTCATTGTTGAATACAGATGGTTAAAAGTAGTTAAAGATATGACTAAAATCTCTAGTAGCTATTAAGTGTGAATATTAAGCCAACTTGCCAGTAAATAAGAGTACAGTTTTATTTTAACTTTTTATTGATTCTTTGTGGATTTCACATCATGCATCCTGATCCCACTCATCTCTCCTTCCCCTCATCTCCTTCCTCTGCCCTGTGACCTCCCTCACAAAATAAAACACAATTTAAAGTATAGCCAAAAAAACAAAGCAAAATGTTGGCATGGAAGCTATAGTGTGGCCCAGTGAATCACACTGTGCACCCCTTAGTAGTCCATACATCTTTAAGAGTAAAATTCTTAACAAAAAATTAAAAGTAGAATTGTCTTTCTTTCATAGCAATGTGTATCAAATTTGTTATTACCTCCTGAGCACCTTTGACTTCTTCCCACTGGGAAGAAGGTGCGAGAGCTCAGTGATTTCCTTAGAAAACTGCAAAACTTGTATCTAAGAACTGTACCCTTAGGCAATGGCTTTGAATACAGTTTGTCTAAGTAGGAGAGATGATACCATTTCATTGTTATTTTTTTATAATTTTTACTTTTTGAAATTATAGTAGCAACATTTTCCCCCTTTGTCTTTCTCCCTCCAGTGGCCCCCCACGTTCTCTTTCAAATTTATGGCCTCTTTTTCTCTGTTGTTACATATAGACATGCATACATATATACATCTATGCAGGGATATATGTATGCATATATTTCTCAGTATTCAACTACAACCTTCTCAGTCTGCATATTGTTACCTGTATGTATATAATCTTGGATATTATACACTTGAAATTGGATTATCAGTTGTTTTTAACATGTAAATCTTCTGTGAAAATATCATCTAACTTGAATATACATGCATAGGAACCTCCAAGTTTTCAGAAATCCTTTAGCATTTAACAGTTAATACAATTGTTTCAAAAGGTACTAAAGGAAGTCTTTCATTTGCAGATGTTAACTAAGAAGTACTTTGTGGCTCTAGCTCCTGTTTTTATTGCTTTTTTAAAAAAAGAAACAGTGCTATGGTTGTGTTTTATCTTAATTGCCTATTCAGCTAAAGACCTACCATATAAAAAGTAGTTGTTTAATTTCTTGCAAAGGAGGTTCTACCTGAGCAGTAGTAGAACAGACTAGTGAACTTTCTGGAATAAAGATCACTGTGAGCACTCAAATAAACTTTAAGAAATTAATTGAAAATTCAGATTGTGCAGTTACACACGCATGGGATTGTATTATAACGCATGACTACTGTGTTCTTACAAGTTTAATGCAGTTTCAATGCAAGTCCCATTTGGAGAATTAATTCATGCTGCCTACCATGTATTTTAATCTGTTTAATTTGGCTAAACGTGTGTGACGAATGACTTCTGTCAGTTGATTTATTCGCTTCATGCCATGGGTTAGAAGCAAGATTGTTCAATATCCAAAGTCTTTAAATAACCAAAAAAGCCTTCGTTAACATGTCGTCAGAGCAGTGAGCGTGCTGTCGTCTGTTGATTGTTCAGGTCGCCTTTAGACTGTGCGACTTGATTAAGCTGTGATATAGATTTTTGTGACAGTTTAGAAGAAAACCATATTTCTTTTTATTGACTAGAATCCTATATAAACTGCATTATGGAAAATACGGTAGCTGCATCGAGAAAAACCCATTTTGAGTACAGTCTTATTTGGGGATGAGCTGTGTTGTCCAGTACCAGCACTGCAGAATCAAAGGCTGTCAGCTCAGCCAGTACCTTTGAACAAAATTCAATTAAGTTTTTCAGTTATTTTAAAGCAATTGCTACTAATACTTCTTCATAAAACAACTGGAAATTATTTCATGGCAAAATTTGGTGTCTTTTAGATTGATGTGAATAGCTATTTAAATTTATTTTTGTTGTTATCTGATACTTATTCTTAGAAGTAATTTGACCATTTATGAGTGAAATACAAAATATAATTTCCTATTCTTGCTATCAGAAGGATGATTGTTTCTGAAATTATTATTTCGGCTGAGCATGGGTGAGGTATGAACGTTGTTTGAGGACATTTACGCTTAAGCTGGCTCCTTTGTCAGTGCTCTCCTCACAGACGTAAAGCAGCACGGAGAAAGCCTCGTAAGTGTGGGCTTTGATCAATGGAACTAATTAAGTGTATTTGAAATGAAGAGTACTTAATTGGAAGAGAACAGCTGGAAAAACTGGGAGAAAAAAAATTGAGTCTTGATTGAGACGATTTGAACCTTCACCATGGCATTTGAACAATATGCTGCTGCTATTTCTATCTTTCTTTTTAAAGCTAATACCCATTGATCAGCGCTGCAGAGTAATGCCTGTGTGCATGTGAACACGCTCAGATTTACTTACCCTTCTGTCATAAGGGTCTTACATTCTTAGCTATGTGCTTTACACTACATATCACATGTTATTTTTGTGGATCAACATTTTTATGTATCAAATATTAAAACTTACTTTATATGAGTTGTATATCATAAAATTTGCATAGGAAATGTGCTTTCTCAATGAAATTACCTTAGGATTTCCTATATTCTATATATTTAAGATCTAAGATTTTTTTACCAATAATATAATAAGATTATGTCCAGATTATTTACAATTTGTGAATACTATGTAATATACTATATGTATATTATGTAATCAATATTGTAAATAATGCTTTGTTTGAATTACGATTTTATTGTATTTTGTTTTATTAATTTCTTTTTCATATGAGTTTGATCGTGTCAGTTCAGAGGGCTTTGTTTCCTTGGTGACCTCCATCCCCTCTCTCTTCCATTCTTTCCACCTCCTCTTCCATAGGGTTCTCTGAGCTCTGAGGGTAGGGACTGGATGGAAACCTCCCTTTGGGCTGAGTGTTCCATTCTTTGCATATTGTCTGGCTGTAGGTATCTATATTTGTTCTAATCTGCTGCAAGAGGAAGCTTCTCTAGTGATGGCTGAGCAAGACACTGATCTATGAGTATAGAATAATATCTTTAGGAGTCATTTTATCACCATTGGTTTTCTTTTTTGAGACCAGTATTATGATATATATATATATATATATAATTTATTTATTTATTTTGGTTTTTCAAGACAGGGTTTCTCTGTATTGCTTTGGAGCCTATCCTGGGTTTCACTCTGTATACCAGGCTGGCCTTAATCTCACCTGATTAAGATCTGCCTTCCTCTGTTTCCTAAGTGCTGGGATTAAAGGTGTGCACCACCAACGCCCAGCTTATTATGATCTTATATGACATCATTATACTACTAGGGAAAGATCATTAAAAACTGACCTCCATAGAAAAAATTTGAGATGAAGCAGGATTGATTCTTGAGTAGGCATTCTGTGTGACATACTTTTCCTTTATATAGTTATCTTCATGGTAAAAGATACTATTGAGGATGGAGTGATGGATCCTCTAAATGTTACTTTTTACACAGCTCTTTAAAATTTCAAACGAAGAAAATTTTAGAAGGGCTTTATTAATAACGCACATTTATCTCTTCAAGGAAATCTCTATATTTATCTTTAATGTCTTGTCTCTTATTTAATACAACAAGGACATAATTGGACATGTAATAGCGAAAAGGGGCCAAAGTCACCAACATTGTCAGGTAAGATAGTTGACAGATTCAGCTGCTTAAAATGAAACTAACTGTAACAAATGCTTCTGAATGGGCATATTTACTACTTGTACTTTTTAAAGAAAATTATAATTAACTGAATTTTAGTTACCACCTCAGGTACAGATCTGTACTAATGTACAGATGTTCAATAAGTCATTTTTCTATTGCTGTGAATTTAGTGCTACTCCTCCATCTCAGTTGCATTTTGTAACTATATGTTTTAATCCTAAATATTTACTGATAGGTGCTTTACCTAAGTTTGTGTATCTGGGAGGAAACCCCCTTTTTAAGGTAGATTTCTATGAATTTACATTCATTTTTTAATTATAGAATCAAAGTACTTTTTATAGGTATGACATTGATTTTTATTTTACTCTTTTTTTGATAATCAGTCATTTCTTTATGACAGACTTATGAAATTCCAGTATCACAAAGCATTGTGTGTTGACTTGGGTAGAAGAGTCTCTATGATTTTATAAAAGCATCCAACAATTTAAAGATAGTATTTCTATATATGCTTTATTTTGAATACTGTTTGGCAAGCTCATTAGCTTAGTATGTATTTTTTGGCTCATGCTAGTGTTGGTATTCTTTAAAATAAGTCACTGATAAAATAGGCAATAGAAATTATCTCATTAAATGTGCATTCTAGTAGGGGAAACAGACAATAAAAATAATAATTAAATATACACTGTGTAAGATGAGACATGCTACAGAACATAGAAAAGGTATAGACGAGTAG